ACGTTGCCAGGTCTAGTTGTCGTAGGTGGCAAATGAACCTCGATGAGAGAGATTCTTAGCACCCCCTGCCCCGCCGTTACCATGGTCGCCACCGTAGCCAGGAATAGCGGGGCTGCCGGGGACTGGGGGCCGTTTGTTTGCGTCGTTGCTCATGGGGGGATATTTGCCATAGTTACCACGCTTGGCGAGCGGGTTTGCAACCGCAGTTTTTTATTATGTTATTGTTGTTATTAGAAAGATGCTGTTGCCCATCTCTTTTCTGTGTCCCCCTGTCCCCTCTTACTACACCCACGGGAAGATATGGGGTAGTAATTTATAAATTAATTATTATGATCATCGTTATTATTTACGTCAGATCAACTTTTTACGGCATATCTTACAATGGTGTTATGGTGTTCCAAGTCGCCGTCTGGGAATATTACGTCTGGCATAACCAAGGTGATTATACCGCTATCGATTTATAACCATAATAACTTTTTGGCTTTTCCCATGTTCACCTCTTACGACACGAAAGAAATGATGATTTTGTATCATTTTAGTGAGCCTCCATACAGCAAACTACAATAAAAATTTGTTTTCTCTGAGAGTACAAGTAGATCGGCTCGACCAGGGAAGAATCATATCGCTACTGTGGTCGTCGTTTTAATGGTAAAGAGGAATTCCATTTCAATTCTTAATTTTGGGTAGATATACATATGTGTCTATGAACCACAGTAACATTCACATCAGGTAGAATGTGTACAAGTATATATGTATACATGCAATGCACTTTGTATACGTGGTAGAGCCATGCTGCAGTTATATTAGTAGTATAGTTGTAGCACAAATGGGTCGGCTCGACCGGGGAAGGACCACGCTCTCACGGAAGACCAGCGTAAAATAGTAGCATTATGCTGCTGTGCTTCGTATAGTGAGTGTAGAGAACCGGAGACCCTCTTTACTGGAAAAGACGCATTCCATCTTAGTCCTCACGGGTGACAACGCATCTGCATTTTGCTTCGTAATCGAGGATAGATGTAGATGTCTATGGGTCACAGCAACCACATACCATCTGGTGGACTGTGTGCTCGTTTGTCACCCTGTCCTATTCCTATAGATCATCACAACATTAGCTGTAAATATAAAAATATTTTTAAAGTGAATATTATAAATATTGATAATTAGGCCAGTAGGAATACATATATTCGTATATCCGTCAATAACGAATGCGTATTTACGAGAAACTGCCCATCGAGCCGTAACAAGCCGCTTTCACGACTCGAACGCGCAGCCGCCGACGACGATATCTACGAGTAGGTGACGCAGCCGACGCGTTACGATACGTTTCACTACGTTTTGTATTCACGACCGATGCTCTGTTAAAAAAGGCATGTTATTGTGATTATCTTTGAAGTTCCATTGTCGATATTCGTAGCATACTGTGTTTAGACAGAGTCATTGGTAAATATGAGCGTTGTGAAATTAATAATAACGACAAATTTGCTGCATCAGAATATAGCCAATCAACTAATATTAAAAGTAATCATATGTTTGCAATTCGTGAGTTATGTATTCTTTCATAGTCAGTTTGTAAGTAATTGACGTAGAAAATATTTATTACGGTTATGACCTTTTGTGGCTGCTGTGGATATCACCGACTATTACTTTCAAATAATTTTTAAACAATATTTTAAAAACAGAAAAATAGTTTTCCGGCAACGCACCTGCAACTCCCCTGGTGTTGCGTTTGATCATGGACGGCGGTAGTCACTTAACATCAGGTGAGCCACATGCTCGTTTGCCCCCTCTCCTATATAAAAAGCCTACTTCTCCATTGTAATTAGTATTTTTTTTAATTTCAATAGCCTCACGTACTATCCTATGTAGGAATAGATGTTCTTTTGCTAGTGTGATTTATGGTCTATAAAATCTGATGTGATGGTGTAGGATATGACCTCTTGGTCTAGGATATAATCACAAACTGCAGAATTTCCACTTACCGCTGCAAAACCTCAGGAACCTTAATAATAAATAAATTAATGTGTATTCGTTTAAACCTGTAACCGGCGACGTACTTATTAAAGTATCTGACCTCTAGGCTAGGCTGTCCTCGTTAACATCAAAGTCAAAGGCAAATTATTTTATTTTATTTAGGCTTATATAAAGTTTTTATGAACGTCAAAATTTACACTCGTCACCTCAATCTACATATCAGTCATCTTACAGTATTTTAATGATGTCTTAGTAGCAAATTTTACAGCACGCGGCTTATAGAATTACTCGCCTTTACGTATAAATTAAAATAAAAGGGTGTATTTAAGAAATAATTGAAAGTTTCAAAAACAAGCCGCTTGCTTACGGAGCCGTGGTAGTGCATGCACTTGGGTTAAACGCTCGCGTACGCGTACGTGCACACAAGCATCCAGATTCCCCGAATTCTAACCCCACTAAAATAAAGTAAAGTTACAGTCTACATACGGCCCATTGCTGGGTACTGGCCTCCTCCTATTTCTGAGATATTTGATAGAGTATTAGTGCAAGGAAAGTCAAAAGTCAGCGCAAGCCGCAATACATTTTGGCGGACCTCACACGTCTTCGTATTTATTAAAACTGGGACACTCAAAGCCGTGGTAGCTGAGGAGCTAAGCGCTGGTTATAAATTTCACAGAAAGCAAGCAAATCGGGTTTAATCCTCGTTAGAATCAAATATTGTTAATTGCAATTTGAAGTGCTTATTTACCTGTATATCCTAACTAAAAGTTTAATTGAAATTGAAGTGCAGATTACCCAATCGTCAACACGCAATCCAGTAGTGTGGTCAGCTCTTCTTTTATTCAGAAACTTTCTCAGAAAGGAGTGTAACAAATAAGGACCTTTTTTTTTCAAATTCTACGTGCGCTCTCTATTGAAATATTAATTGGTTTCCCAAAAAGAAAAAAAAAACAACCGGAATATACCTATAATCTAATTAAGTAACTAACAGATTGTTATTATTGACAATGCAATTTAGTTAACGCCAAAAATAGCTTGTTGATAGTATAAACACCACTTAACATGTGGATTTTATACGTGGTAGAGCCACGATACAGCTATATTATGGTTGTAGCACGAATGTGTCGGCTCGACCGCTGAGGGACCACGCTCTTACAGAATACCAGCGTAAATAGCAGCTTAACACTGCTGTGTTTCGTATGGTGAGTGTAGTGATCCGAAGACCATTTTTTATTAGAAACGAGGCATTCCATTTTAGTACTCAGAGGTGACAACGCTAGATGCGTTTGAGTTTTGATTCTTAATCGAGGATAAATGTAGATGTCTATAAGCCACAGCATCCACTTACCAATCAAGTGGATTGTGTGCTAGTTTGTCACTCTTATTCTATAAAAAAAGATTTTAAATGCACAAATCAAACTTTTGTGAGAAATTCTTATTCAAATTTCTATTTAAAAAAACGAAGACACTAGGATTTTATCATGTTTTGTGACGTCATTAAGATGGATATAAATTGCACAAGGACAAACATAAAGACCCGGAAATAGTTATTTGTAGGCCATACAAACACTTGCTTGGGTATTGCTTCTTACGGGATTCGAACCCACGGGCCTGCAGTATCATAGCCAAATGTTTAGCAACTGCACTACTTATAAATAATAACAATTATTAGATTGCTTTTGAAATGAAAACTTAAGAATTTGTATCAATATAAAATCTCTCTCTCTCTCTCTCTGTAATTCAATACCTTCGCTATTGCTTTCATAATATTTTGTAACCACTTCACGTATGCCAGCGCGTTAAATACTTACCGCTAATACCGCGTATGGTCCTGGAATTCTTATATGGAACGTTATCGATGAAATATAAATTCTAAGGTCGTTCTGTTTTGTACTTTCTTTATCCTTTATTGATAAATCATTATAATAAAAGCGAAGTGTTCGTGAATGTTCCTCACGTCTCGTTTTATTTTGTTGGAGACGAGAAGAAAGTTATCTAAATTTGCAGACGTTTTAAATTTTAAACTATTTAATGTTCAAATGGTTCATTACAGAAGAAAATGAAACAAAGGTTTGGCAGCAACATATTCCTGATAATAACGCAAAATAACAGAAAAAACTGCGGTTGCCATATAAAGCAAATAAATATGGAGGTCTATAATTAGAATAGGATTTGATGAAAGATAATAACTTAATGTAAAAAAAATAAAAATAACCCGAAACAAAAAAGCTGATAATGATCTTCGAACTACTTCGAACAGATTTTCTCGAAACATAGCTAAGAACACTGCCGATTAAAAAACCTTTAAGAAATAAATAAAACCTTTACCAGCCACAAATAGGCACATATATACGCAGGTATAAAGTACAAACTTATGATCATTTTTAACACCCGACGAAAACATAGGGGATGTTTTCGTCGGGTGTTAAAAATGATCTAATATAATTTTGTTGCGCCTAGCATTTTCGAAAAGCAATAATCTCTCCGTCGCGATAGCGTTTATTAAACATAAATTGCATAATATGGACAATGTAGACTTGCTTTTTTGATTGCATATGGCACACTTAGACTTGAAAGCAACTACGCTACCGAAACACCGAGTTTGTGATATTGTAATTAAGGAAACAATTATCATAATTCGTGATACATTTCATAAAATCTATTAACTAATCTACGCGACGCGCGGCGGACACTACCTTGCCTTAAAACTGTGTTAGAAATGAAAGGAGGCCAGTGCCCAGTAGTGTAAAGTATATAGCTTTAAAGGCAGTATTTTTACTTTACGATTAAGTAGAAAATGTCAGAAAAGACAGGTTTGGAAAACAAATATACCATGCAGGGGACCGACGTATACAGTTCTTTCACATTTAATTAAGAAATTTTAGTCCTATTTAGTCTAGTATTTAGGTCTAGATTAGTCTTTTATAATACGATTAACAGTCATTTATCGTCAACTCAAAAAGATTCCATACTTTTTACCATTACTTATTTGTGTGTTTTAAATTATTTATGTTTTTTTTTTGTTCCAGATGTGAAAACGCAACGATACAGCAGTTGCAATCGATGATTGTGCTAATTTCTTCGCAGCAAATATGGCATTCTCGAAAAATCATCTAACGATATAAATTTTGACGATCGTTGAGTAACAAGAGTATCCAATGATACGGTGAAAAATAACACGCCAACAATGGGACGACGACGTTGGAGGATTGTCACTATCGCGGCGTTTCTGCTTTTCATTATAAAGGACGCGCAATGTCAAGGTATGTAGTAAGGCAACTCGCAAATTCTTGAAGTAAAAACTTCTTTAGCGGCGTTGTACACTTTTTTTTATGGGTAAAAAATGTTAAACTCGCGTCAGGACACGTGACCCTGATCGAAAATTCGTAAGACAGATGGAGAGAGACAGAGACAGCTGGCGCGTCGTAGGAGAGGAAGTATCCCCCTCTCTATCTACGGCGCGGCGAAAATGTATGCCTACTACTACTACTGCCTTATGTTTCGTTTAGGCGGCGTTGCGAATGTTCGTGTGTGATAATTAAAGCAATTCGTGCAAAATTATTCCCTAATCATTCCAAAATATCAAAAATGCACAACGTTAATATTCAAGTTTTCACTTCTGCCGGCACTCCAGGAGTGCAACCCGTCGTTTTTTTTACGTGATAGTTACGATGCAACTATATTATAGTAGTAGCACAAATGAGTCTGCTCGACCGAGGCTTGACCACGCTCTCACAGAATACCAGAATAAAATTGCTGCGTAACGCTGCTGTGTTTCGTATGGTGAGTGTAGAGAACCGGAGACCCTTCTTACTGGAATCGGGGCAGTCCATCTTAGTCCTCAGGGGTGACAAGGTATTTGCATTTTGATACTTAGTTGTGGATAAATGTGCATATCTATGGGCCACACCATCCCCTTACCATCAGGTGGACTGTGTGCTCGTTTGTCACCCAATGCTATAAAAAGGTAATATTTTTAATAAAGTTAATCTATTTCAAAATATCAAAAATTACAATTTCGGTAAAATTAAAATGTAAAAAACTCTGAAAGTTGGCAGTATTAGTTATTTGTCATAATCCTTGTGCTTTATGCACTGACGCTCGATCCAATTTGGGTTTTTAAGATCTGACTACCTCTTGGTAAACTATTTATTAATCTGTGCTATCGCAACAGTAATTATTTCATTCCTGTTGAATGTAGCTGCTACAGATGCTACTGCTAAACTTAACTAAGATGTTAATGAAATACTTACAATAATTGGATAATAAGAGACCTTGTTTCAGAAAATTTGTTTAAACGTTCACCCAACTTAAAAACTGACTAAATTTCTTTTAAGCATGTTAAATATGAGGGTACTTGTCGTTACCTTAATGATGCGTTGTCGTTTCTGTACTCTTAGTTGTTATGTCTCACAGCTTGTCATAAACTGACTTACATACTCTTCAAATGGGAGTGCAGCAGTGCGTGGATCCTATTTTATAGAATAGTTTAGGTGTAGTAAGTGATCTGTGACACCAGCGGGACATATGTTGCCCGCGGTACAAAACGGAACAGATACTTTTCTTGCAGGTCCCTAAGTCATATCGGTTCGAAAAATCACTGATGGTAGTCGATTCCACTTGGAATCCTAAAAATAAAAATTATTCTTCTCGTGAATCGCATATTGCTGGACCGCCAAGTATCCAGATGGTGTGGATGGTATCAAAAATTTTGTCGCGATATGCGATGATGGATCCGAACATTTCCTCTGCGCACTCCCCATGGTATATTCAATAGAATCAATACTGGTTAGCAGCAGATATAGTTCAGAAACAAATTTAGCAGAAAAGAAACTTCACCACTTCTTTACTCTAAATTACGAATTCATACGTATATTCAAAGAACAAGAAACCCAAACGGTTTCTATAAGAAATAATATAAAAATTTTTGCATATGTATGGAGTTAATCTGCTTATAAATACAATAAATGGATCCTACGTTCACAATATTTGTATATAGTACAAAACGAGGTGTTTCTGCAGTTGATACTGTCCTTGAGTTTTTTTTTGGAACATTGTAATCCGGGAAATGGATAAGTACCCATATAGGCTGTATTTCCGTGCACATTAATTTGAATTCAAAATACAACAAAATGTCAGTTTACTTTACGTGGGTGAGCAGTTCTAGACATCGCCCACGTGTGCCGACTAAACGGCGCTCTATTTATTGTACCTAAGTCACGATAAACCACCACCATTTTCGCGTTCTTGAATAAGGGCTCATACACATGGCACTTCTCACATTCGTAGCTACCCTTTATATCAAAATATTAGCGAAAATGTAGAGAAAGATTAAAACTTAATAATGGTGATCTATATAAAACATAGTAGGTATGTGGATATTTTTTTATTAAAATAAGGTTCAAGTGCTTATAAAGGCAGAAAGTAAGTGTAAATGTTGTATAACTAACATCAAAATGGTGGCAATCACAATCTTTATTCGATATTATATAAAAATATATGATACACAAGTTATGAATTTACAGATATAAGCATCAGCATAACGTGTCATCATCATCATCATCATCATCAGCCCGCGGCAGTCCGCTGGACATAGGCCTCTCCCTAGGCGCGCCACTTAGCCCGATCTTCGGCTACACTCATCCAGTTTCTACCAGCTCAGTCGCTCCATCTGGTCAGGGGGTGTCCCGCACTACGCTTGCCTAGACGCGGTCTCCACTCCATAACACATCTACTCCACCGGTTGTCACCTCTGCGACAGACATGACCAGCCCATTGCCAATTCAGCTTACAAACACGGAAAGCTATAACGTGTATTCCCGAGTAATTAATAATGAATTTAAAATTTATCTCGATAACATATTTTAATTTACCATCGGCTCTAAGAAGATATTTATTGAGTACTGTTTAATTTTTTAAGTAATTATATCATCTTTGTCCTCCAAGTCGAATATTCCTGACAATAATTGGAATTTGTTTCACCTGTTGGATATCATCGTGCATGTTTATGTGTATTGTACTAAATATTTTTAAAAACTCTTATTAATAAAATACTTCTGATCATGAACCTCGTTATCAGACACACTATCCCTTTCAAGTGCAATTGTTCATAAAAAGTCTATTTTATAAATCCTATGAAAATGCACCTTAATGTTAAACGCCAGGTATATTTATTGCCTTTCATGGCTCAACCCCCATAAATTCCTGTAGGTTGTCTAGCAACTTTTATCGAAGTGTTCCTAAAGTAATGTTATCTAAAATAATATAGAAATATAATAACGCTGTCATTCTATAAAACAAGTCAGAATATATTAATTATACCTGATTTTTGTGCATTGAGCCGTGGTAGCTCAGATGGTTAGCGCTCGCTGTAAATTTCAAAATACGCGAGCAAATCGGGTTCGATCCCCGCCGGCACCAATGAAATTGTTAATTGCAATTTTAAGTGCTGATTTACCACGTGCTCGTCGGTGAAGGGAAACATCGTGAGGAAACCTGCATGTCTGAGATATGAGAAAAAAATTATTTCGAAGACATGTGAAGTCCGCCAACACGCATTAGGGCAGCGCGGCGGACTATTCCTTGCCCTAAAACCCTCTCAGAAATGAGAGGAGGCCTGTGCCCAGCAGTGGGACGTATATAGGCTGTAACTTTACTTTACTTTACTTTACTTTTTGTGCATACATAGATTAGTACTGTGGGTGCAGCTGGACATATATTTACAGGTTGCAACCTTACTTTATAGATCATATACGTATAAATATTTAGGTATAATTGTTAACTATTAAATATGATATTTATATAAAAATAAGGCTCTTGTGTGTAGTTTTTCTTTAACACAATGAAATTAAATTGTTTCCTTCCCTCTTAGATTTGAATATATTTTAATTGTTAAGAAATATAAATGCATTTTTTTCTCGCAGCACAGTAAAAATACAGAGTCATTTAACCGTACAAATCAAATAAATACAGTTACTTATACAAAAGCAAATACTGAACAAAATTATCAAGCACTGTTAAGTAATTAATATGTATTTTTAATATTAATCAATGTTTTATTTTATATATAATACTCTATTATATTTACTCTATTTTATCCCTGCAACCTGTTTGATATCACCATCCCATCTTTTCTGTTGTTTTCCTCTTCTACTTTTGCTTTCTCTTGGGTTGAGTAATTATTTTGTTCCATTTGTGTTTTTCACTTATCACGTGTCTCGACCACATCCATTTCAGCCTTTTGATTTTTAGGGTTACGCCGTGAATCTTCGTGTTTCCTGATTTTTCTTATTTTTTCCGCCTGCTTCACTCCTAGCAACCATCTTTCTATAGCTAGTTGACAAATGGCAAGTTTATTAACTGTTTTCCTTGACAAAGCTCATGTTTGGCTTCCATACATTAGAATTGGGAAAATGCAGGTATTGAACAGTTTACTCTTTGCTGCTATATGTAGGTTTTTGTCTTTTATTTCAGGCGTCAGTGTCTAACTATTTCCTATTCTTGGGGTAATGTCTACCAAAATATAAATAAAAGAGTTTTTTTTTTGCTTTCAAACGTTTTAATCTGTCTCTTTATAAAACAAAGTCGCTTCACACTACTACGGCTGTACGGTTAGATCTTTTAAACTACACAAAGGGTTTTGCGATGCACTTTTAATCAATAGACAAAATGATCCAAGACGAAGGTTCAATGTATAATAAATGCATATGTTGTCGAGATCCAAAATCACCTGTGCAAAGCCAGGGCGGAACGCTAGTTTGTAAATAAAAAAATCCTATCCGTAGATCATATGCTGAAAGTGCTGAGTTTTTTTTACAATTATCGTGCACACTTTCTGCTGCATACATAAAGCGGCCGTATGAGTGAAACACCCATGCCTAGTCAAAACATCGAATTGGACTAAAAAATATGGCGCCCGGAAATAAGACCTATAAACTGATATTACTTTTAAAATTGTTTTCGAAATACAAGTATCCGTTTTAATGTTATTACTGGAATGTAAATCATTAAAAAAGAAGTAGTTGTCGTAAACCTT